TCAGGTGCAGAGGTGCAGAAACAATGGATGACCTTGGCTTTCTAGAAAGAATGTTGTTATGGCTACATAGTATGTAACTCCTTACAATCCCGCCCTCCCATTTTCCCACAATAGAAAATGCATAGTAGAATAATAGGAAGTGTGGCAGGCCAAAGATCCAAAAGAAAAGATGGCTGCAGGCCTGACAGTTGCAGAAGCTTCAGATTGAATCCAAGCTTTAGCTGGAGATGGGCCACCGAATTATTGTTTCTTGCAACAACAAAAAGTTTTCTATTTCCTGGCAATTAAATGGATCACAAATTGTGGATAAACAGATTTACTATTAATTTTTTGGGATGTTAACTTGCATAGATTTCTTTGCAAAGCTGACATTTTCATTGCAATTGCTTCCAAACTCACCCAACCCCCCCCCATCCCCTCATCATTTTAAATTTGATCATCAGTAACACAAAACCACAACGGAAAGGTGAGAACTACAACTTCTCTGGAGAGGTGACAAATGCAAATAAGTCATGTATGTCATGTCATTATTGGCAACAAGATATGCCATTGGTCATTTGTGAAATTGCGCTATTTGCATGTTTACATTATAATACGGTGTCATCATAGCTTCTACCAGATGCCTATATGTATAAGCTCCGTTTTATTACAATAAAATTGAGCCTATACGAAGTCATAATGTATTATACAGAGATTTCTGCAGTGCAGCCAAAGCCATCCGCGCCACCTTATTCTAATCTTTACTGGATAATGGCCAGGTAAGAACAGCAAGGCAATTATAGAAAATATACTTTAAAAATAAGGAGGAAATTATATTTACTTCCTCAATGTCCTCTTAGTTGAAATCAAAGTTTGAATTAAAGCTAAATCAGACTTAAATAAAGAGTTGTGTGACATAAACTGGAAGAAGCAGGTAGATTGGTTAGAAGTGCTCAATCTTTCCCTAGTGTTGACTCCTCTCCGCAATTTTTGTCCCAATCTACTGTAATTTTCTTCTTGCTTCCTATATGGAGAAAAAGAATTGTAAGTAAAAAGCTAACTGGGGTAGGGAAATTCCCCATGCACAAGGCTTGAAATTATTCAGCCTACTTGCTGGCACACGGGTCTACTGCTATCTCATAGATTTTTATTATAGATTTTTAAGTTGTTTATTTGCAATGCAATATGCACCTGGAGGAAGAGCGGGGGGGGTGGGGGGCATGGTTGGCAACAGAGCTTTCCCAGAGAGAGGTCGGGATCAAGGCACTGTGCAATCCTGAGCTGGAGAGGGAATGGGGAAGATGTTCAGTGTAGCCACAGCCTAGAATCTCTCAGAGTATGTCTATACCTTTTACTTAGAAAGTTATAACTTTAGTTTGGCAAGATTGTGTCCATTAGGTCTAAGCAAATAGAGGATTAAAGTGGATTGGATTTCACTGTGTTGTCTCTTAGACCTGACAACATCATTAGCTAATAACCTTTTAAAAGGTTGCTTGCTTCTTTCCCTGCAGCATTGTTTGCTATGGAAATTAAAGTAAAAAAAGACATGAAGACTGGGGAGAGCACAGTTTTGTCAACAATACCCCTCCCTTCAGAAGAATTTAAAGGAGCAGGAGTCAAAGTGTATGACGATGGCAGAAAGTCTGTCTATGCAGTGTGTGCCAATGGGAGCGTCAAGAATGATGATGTGGATGATCTTGCTCCAGTTGAAGTGGAGGATATGTTACGACAAGCCACTGAGAAACAATCCAAGTCTCCCACTGAATATCATGAGCCAGTATATGCCAACCAGTTTTGCAGACCCCGAACTCCTCAAAAGAATAAATTCATCCAAGAAGCGAATGAAGGAAAAGATAACATCCAGAATAAGATCAGCCACCTTGACCATTTTTCTAATGAACTTGTTGAGAAGGATAAATGGCATGATATTAAAAAAGACGCTCTAGATACTTCAAAGAGCTGCCAGCAGAACTCTCATTGTCCAGTTAGTCAACAATTAGGAAGGCCCTTACAGGCTAATCCTCAGAATAAGCTAGGGTCTTCGGCCCAAAGAGAAGCTACTCAAGAAACTGCTCAACCATATCAAAAGATGAAGGAATACCAAGATAAGAAGATCAGAAACTCTTCTCCGGCAGCACTAGAGAGTGAGGATAATTATAGCGTGGTCCAAGCTACCCCATGTTACGCCGTGGATGATACAGAAGAACCGGTTACAATGATTTTCATGGGATACCAGCATGTGGACGATGAAGAACTAAATAAAAAAATCTGTGGGTATGATGGGATTATCCATGCGGAACTTGTCGTCATCAGCGATGACAGTGAAGAAGAAGAAAAAAAAATTGAGACACCTCGTTATCATCCAGTGGGTCCTTATAGTCAGGTCTATCAGCCATCCAATCAGACATGTGCAGTTTCACAGACTAAAACTTCTGGAGACAACATAAACAAGCCACTTTACAAAAATTCCATGTCACTGAAAGAACAAGAAGAAAGTTTGAGCTCTTCTACCTTTAATGGTCAACTTGATGGCCACTTAGCAAGTGATGGAACAGAAGAACCTTCCTTAACAGGTAAAAAAAAGGGCAAGTCACAGCATTGTTGTGCTCTCATGTAGCAGATTCATTACTCACATTACTCTCTTCCCCTTCTTCTTGTTTTTCATTTTAATTCTAATTCATCTGCAACCTGTAACCAATTTCCTCCTGCTTTTCTAAATTCTAATACACCCTTCCTCACATCCTTCTGATGTATTGAATTCCCAGTTTCCACAATCCCTTGCTGACATTTTCAATGGTTGAGTTGAGCTGAACATACTATGTTGATTACACATAATAGAAAATGAAGTCCAATGCATCTGGAGGGCTGCAGATTGAGGAAGCTTGTTTGAGTGTTTCATTTAGTTTTTAATAATGTGCAATCATAGCACTTTGAAGGATCTAAGTGGTCAGAACCAAAGCTTGTTTAATATTACCAAAATCAGATCAGAATAATAATGCAAATCAGCTATTTAACTTTCTAATTTAAGCATGTTTTGAAAATAATATTGAGAATTCTCATTGCACCTATGCAATATATGGCAAATCAAATCAAATTCCATTTTGGTGATTAAACCATAACCATTCTTTCCATTTTTGGAATTTAGTCATATGTCTTGCCTTAATCATTATTGGATAGTGCCCAGTTCACTTGATAAGACTTAATGCAACTTTTAATATAGACTTTACCCTGTTTTAACAGAGAATGCCTGTTTTAATAGTCAAAAATAACAGAAATCCATTTCTGTCTGTAAATTAATCTCAGACTGTGTATCTACCTTTAATAAAAGCTGTTACATTTTCTAATCTTTTGCATGAAATCAACTCACTATTAATCTTTTGCAATCAAAATGTTTTACAGATCTTAATAGCCTTAACATCAAGTGGCTTCAGAGTTCATAGTTTTATTCTGTGTCCATGCAAACACAACTAATAGTAGCTTTCTTCGACAAGCACGAAATAGCACAATATACATACAATCAAGCTTGTTGTTCATGCAAGCCAATATTTGGTCTAAGATGAAATGTTTGCTTTTCATCTAAGAGGGTCTTAATTGTTTTTTTTTTAAATTCTATTTAGTGGACAAAGCAAAGAAAGGATGCTGTATCTCCCTTTATTCATTATTGCTTAAGTACTGAACGGGACGTTATGTTGAGAAATAACAGCATTGCTAGAATGTCTAGGGGACAATGTCTTGCTTGGCAGATGTCTAGAGATAGAACAAAATAGAACAGAACAGAATTATTTATTGGCCAAGTGTGATTGGACACTCAAGGAACATGTCTTTGGTACATATGCTCTCAGTGTAAAAAGAAAAGATACATTCGTCATAAATCATAAGGTACAACACTTGATGATAGTCATAAGGTACAAATAAGCAATCAAATCATACTAGGAAACAATATAAATTGTAAGGATACAAACAACAAACAACAAAGTTACAGCTATAAAACAGGGGTGGGTTTCTCGCCCCGTTCCAACTGGTTCGGTTGGAACGGGGCCGGCGGTGTCCTTGTGCACGCGCGCAGCGTGCACATGCGTACTAGCATCTGTGCGATGCTCCAGCTGCTCCTGGAGGATCGCGCAGGCGCTGTATGCNATGCAACTTAAAAGGTGAAACTAATATATGAGATAAGACTCATTACATGCAAAGCAAGATGGTTCAAGCCGTGATTTGTCATAATTGTGATGATTTCACCTGTACACGTAGAACTCAATTTATAACCATTTATAACAGTTCATGTAGTGAGGTTACAGTGGCATTGAAAAAAGTGATTTATGACAATTTTTCACCTTTAGACCATTGCAAGTATCCCCATGGTTACGTGATCAAAATTCAGGTGCTTGGTAATTTGGCTTGTACTTATGACAGTTGCAGTGTTCCAGGGTCATATGAGCAGCTTTTGCAACCTTCTGACAAGCAAAGTCAATGGGGAAGCCAAATTCACTTAACATCTGCACTGATTCACTTAACATCTGCAGTAATTCACTTAACTGTAACAAGAAAGGTTGAAAAATGGAGCAACATCCACTTAACAACTATCTTGCTTAGGAACGGAAAATTGGGGATCAATTGTAGTTGTAAGTCGAGAACTACCTATATATTTACATGCTTAAACCATGAAAAGTGGACCAATGTTTCAGAAAAGTAAATACCATACGAAAACTTAACTTCTATTTTAAATATTAGTGCAAATGAACAAACTAACCCTTATATAGGTATTTTTCATTTATTACAGACAGAAATCTAGACTTGTAATGAAAAGCCAAATCATTTAGGTAAATAGTAGACCAGAATGCATATTCAGTTGTCACTATAATACAGTTTGAAAATTATTCTTTCTCATATGGCTATGCTGTAACTTGATAGTATATTTATTAATTTCTGATCTTCTTTTACACTAACTTAACAGTACTTTCTGGGATTAATCCTGTGAGGTAAGTATGATACTCTCTAACTAACTAATACTATAATTTTACAATATCATATCAATACAATAGCAGAGTTAGAAGGGACCTTGGAGGTCTTCTAGTCCAACCCCCTGCCTAAGCAGGAAACCCTATACCGTTTCAGACAAATGGCTATCCAACATCTTCTTAAAGACTTCCAGTGTTGGAGCATCCACAGCTTCTGGAGGCAAGCTGTTCCACTGATGAATTGTTCTGTCAGGAAATTTCTCCTCAATTCTAAGTTGCTTCTCTCCTTGATTAGTTTCCACCCATTGCTTCTTGTTCTACCCTCAGATGGCTTGGAGAATAGTTTGACTCTCTCTTCTTTGGGGCAACCCCTGAGATATTGGAATGCTGCTATCATGTCTCCCCTAGTCCTTCTTTTCATTAAACTAGACATACCCAGTTCCTGCAACCGTTCATGTTTTAGTCTCCCATCCCCTAATCATCTTTGTTGCTCTTCTCTGCATATCAATATATAATATTTTGCTTTTTTTTTTTACAGCTCTGAGAATGAGAATGGCAAAGCTGGGGAAAAAAGTGATTTAAACAGCTGCAGTGATATAATACTAAAATTCTGGCAGTTTAACAAAAGCGAAAGAAGAATTTTCTATGTTTTGGACCTGTGTAGCTTTTACTTATCGTCAACTATACATCCATAATAATGGCACTTTACAGGAAAATGAATGTTTGCCAGTCCTAATATATGGATACTCTGATCCGTAAATGAATATTGTTAAAACAGTGTATTCCTCAAGGAATTATTAGTGGCATTTGTTAGGAATTTGTCAGCCTTATTATATTTTATAAGAGCTGAAGGATCAGTGTCATGAATACAATGCATCTAGAGTTTTGTTGGAGTCTTGTCCATCATCTTCTCAGACTATACCAAAACATGAATATAAGATATAAACTGATTTTCCAATTCCTACTGAACTCTATTCCATTTCAGCAGTGTTTTTCAAATTGGGCAAAAGCACTCTCCGTGTGTGTGTTTGATATTGGAAGCTGATGACTTTATTATGGCTGGTGGATAAAGCCATTAAAGTACCCCTAATATTATCAATAGTAATGCATCCTACACAGGCAGCCGTATCTCATTTTCCTTTTGAACATTGGAAAATGCCCCATTGTTTGGGAAATGGGAAATGGGGGGGGGGCACTCTATCCTTCATGTCATTGCTTTCCATATTCCTATCTATGTTTATTGCTCATCTTTGGAATTTAGCCAGTAAGGAATCCTTGTCCCAACTGTTCTCCTTTTTGTTTCCTCTAGCCGCCTGATAAAAAGTTTGCTTTTGATCTGGAATGTACATACCTCTCCCAGTTTTTGTACCAAATCTTGCATTTATCATCATAGTATCTCAATACTTAAAAGACACTCAGAAACTGGGTTATTAAAATATTGCTCTGGTCATTAGTAGCTACTTGCTTCTGATTGCGGCTTGGCCCAGAAATCAGAATGTTCTGTTATGATATATGCAAGGCTTTGTTTGGTTGAGTCTGTATGTTTGGAGAGAGTGCTTCATATTTGTGTTCCAAAAAATATTCAGTGTATTCAGATGTTTTGTTAATGTTATGTATTTTTAAAACATATTTCTCTTGGAAAGATTGGACTACTACGGACAACTTCAACATAACTAGCTGTGGCTGTAAACCTAATCAATAGCACCACACAGTGTCTCAATTGTGGAAATGTTATTGCAGTGTATTGAAGAGTCCAATCTAAAAATACTTCAGAAGGCACTGTGCATGTTCCCTCGAAATGAGAGTGGCCGTACAAAGGCCAAAATGGAATTAAAATGCACGTATCCTGTGGGAAATATATGAACAATACAGTACATTATATATGAGACTACGAAGCTATCTTTTCCCCCAAAAGGAGACTTGGTCGAAGGCTATTTAAAATATACTGCTACAAATGATATTTTGAATATGTTGCTTATATATTTGTGATGAAAAATATAAGTTGTAGTTGTAGTTGTAGTTGAGTTTATTTATAGGCCGCCCTTTTCCCTGAGGGGACTCAGGGCGGCTAACAACTTGTATGGGAGGGGAANTCAAAACTGGGTAAGGAGTGCGGGCGGGCGGGCGGGTCAGTCACCGTTCCCGGAAGTTACTTACTTCCGGGTTCGCCGACCAACCGGTTCGCAGGGACCGCCGCGAACCGGTTGAAACCCACCCCTGCTATACAGTCATAAGTGGGAGGAGATGGGTGATAAGAACGATGAGAAGATTAATAGTAATAGTAATGCAGACTTAGTAAATAGTTTGACGGTGTTGAAGGAATTATTTGTTTAGCAGAGTGATGGTGTTCAGGGAAAAAAACCTGTTCTTGTGTCTAGTTGTTCTGGTGTGCAGGGCTCTATCAAATCCCAACTGCTGATACAGATCTGAGATTTATAATGTGGTTGGAATAGAAAGAGAAATGCAAGTGAAAGCAACAGTTGAAGTTTCTTTCATCAGGCAGCAAAGAAAAAAAAATGCTAGCAAGGAACCACACATGCCTTATTTTACTCTTGAACTTTCAAGAAGAATTTTACAGAAGAAAAAGTTACGTTGAAGAACTAGTACAAGTTCTCACCTCATTCAGTGCTTGGAGGTTGCATGCATCTCTTTGCAGACAAGATTCATACGTGCAAACACACTCACTTTGCAAAAACATATTGAGAAATGATGACCAAATCTTTCCTGTTTTATAACAATCATATCCTGATTAGTGTGTCCTAGGGGGTTAGAATAGATATGAAGAATATAAAGCTTTCCAGAAATCCAACTGATTTTTTGTTTCTAGTTTAAAAGTCTTTCAAAGATTAATATTAATCTTAAAAACCTCTTTACACAGACACTCCCTCTCACTCTCTCTATCTCTCTGTCTCCCTCTCCCTCCCCCCTCTCTCTGTCTCTCTCTCTCTCCCTCTCTCTCTGTCTCCCTCTCTCTCTCCCTCCCTCTCTCTATCTCTCTGTCTCCCTCTCTGTCTCTCTCTCTCCCTCCCTCTCCCTCTCTCTCTCTCTGTCTCTCTCTGTCTCTCCGTCTCTGTCTCTCTCTGTGTGTGTGTGTGTCTCTGTTTCTCCCTCTCTGTCTCTCTCCCTCTCTCTCCCTCTCTCTCTCTGTCTCTCCCTCTCTGTCTTTCTCCCTCTCTGTCTCTCCCTCTCTCTGTGTCTCTGTCTGTCTGTATCTCTCTGTCTCTCTCCCTCCCTCTCTCTCTGTCTCCCTCTCTGTCTCTTCCACTCTCTCTGTCTGTCTGTCTCTCTCTCTGTCTCTCTCTCCCTCCCTCTCTCTCTGTCTCTCTCTCCCTCTCTCTCTGTCTCTCCCTATCTGTCTCTCTCTCTCTCCCTCTACTTCTCCCTTTCTCCCTTTCTCTCTCTCTCTCTCTCTCTTTCTCTCTCTCTCTCTCTCTCCCCCCTCTGTGGAAGCACTGAATCCTGCCTTGTGGACTTAGGCCAATGGCTATAGAACCCTTAAGGCAATCTGTTTCCTGCAGAACAAGTAGTAGAAATATTGTTGCAACATAGGCAGCAGGTAGAGCATAAGCTTTCACAATAATGTACTGTGATCCAGTTAGCACAGCATTTGGGCCAAGGTATACCTCAACCTGGACTGGCCCTGAAGGTTCTGCACTGTTTATTATAATTCTTTTACCTGGAAGCTGTCCGAGAGATTTGGAAGCGGCTATTCAGGACCAATTCCTAACTCTCATTATCTCAGTGTGAGTTATTTATGATCGGCAGATTGGCAGAGTTCCCTACACATTGGTCCAATGTGGCATTGCTTCTCACTTTGCCTGACTCACAGAGCTTGACAGTAGCCTGCAATTTATGTTAAAATACCAGTTCAATAGTAGCAGATTGATACTGTATAGGAGAGAGAACAATGTCCACCTATTAAAGGAACAGCTAGTATATTCTTATACATGCCTCACATTCTTGAGTGATGAAAGATTGCAACGTTGGTGGCTGTCCAAGTTTGGTTTCCTTTGGGTAGGGAAAAAATATTGGAGATTCAAACATTTGAGATGAACATAATGGAGCCCGAGAGCCAGTGGTGGGTTTCAAAAATTTTTAGAACCTATTCTGTAGGTGTGGCCTGTTTTGTGGGAGTGGCTCAGCGGTCATGTGGCTGGACGGGCATGACTTGGTGGGCATGTGACCAGGTGGGTGTAGCCAACTTGGAAAATATGGTGAGACCCACTTAACAACGCTCTTGCTTAGCAACCAAAATTTTGAGCTCAATTGTCATAAATTCTCTTTCTTTTTCTTTCTTTCCTTCCTTCCTTTTGTCTCTCTCCCCCTTTCTTTCTTTCATCTCTCTCTCTCTCCCACTTTTTCTTTTTTCTTTTTTTCTTTCTTTTTCTATCCGTCTCTCTCTCTTTTCTCTCACTCTCCCTCCATTCCTTCCTTCCTTCCTTTCTTGTGTGCATCTCTCCCCATTCCTTCCTTCCTTCCTTCCTTCCTTCTTTCCAAAAGCGTTCCAAAAGTTACGCTAAATTTCACAAACTGGTTCTGGCGTACTGGTACGAACTGGGAGAAACCCACCCTTGCCGAGAGCACATTTCTACAAGGAGCCAATGTGCTGCATGATATTTATCAATCAAATTTATACACCACTCACCTCACCTAAGTGATTCTGAGTGGTTTACAAAGAACGTTGTAAAATAATAAGGCATAGTTGAGGATGAAATTAAAAGTGAAGGTAAGATTTACAAGTAAAAAGTAAAAAAAAAAGAGTTAAGCAATTGAAGCTAAAAGGGATATAGCTTCAATAGGGTTTTTCATAAGTAAAACCTGATTAAACCATCTTCATGATGGAGCAGAGGGGAAACTAGATTTATCCTCCTCAAAACCATTGAAGAAGATACTTTATTGTATTATTATCCTGAGTGTTCTTGGAATTTCCCTGCAGGGCAATCTAGCAGAGATTTGGTGATTGCTGAGAGATTCAAGAGATTAAAAAAAAAGGAAATACCACTTCACACAGTGTAAAATTTAACTGAAACTGAATTGTCATCCATTTGTCTTTAAAAGGAAGATTAGAAGTGACTCTCCTGAGCTTAGTTTCAAGTGATTTCACAGCTGGATTCAGAAGTTCTCCTGGCAATATTATGGGAATAATTTGACATTTTATTCTATTGAGGTATTTGGTTTGCCTTTCTGAACTACAAGCCTGGAGATTCTTGGTAGTGGTCTGACTGTGCTTATCTCTTTTTTGGGGTGGGGGGGGGGGGAATGGAGATCAGGCAGTGGGTGTTAGTCATGATTGCTATATAGTCCAGGATAAAATTCAGCATGCCTTGGGACACCAATTGTAGGAAATATCAGCCAAGCTGAGAAACAAACATTCTTGGGCAAACCTGTAGTGCAGACTCATCTTCAAGCAGATTCAAACCAAAATATATTTGTGTCCAGACTTAGGTCAAACCTCTCTCAGTATTGCTTGTGCTGAATATTTCATCTTTCTGAGGTCTGTCTGCTATAAAACAAATTCAGGATTATTCCAGGGCTATTTGTATGCATATTGTGTATATATTTTTCTACCACTCAAGCATCTTTTTTCACAGGTTTCTCTGTTTTTGTGCATACTTCTCTAATAATCTGGCCTGAACAGACGTTTTAATTCTGGGCAATTTCTGTAAACTACAGTGTGCATGCAAAAATATGAACGATACCTAGGGAATCTAGATTCTCTGTATGTTGTGGGAGCAATCTCAGCTTGGCTGTCTGTTTTGATGGGCCAAATTTCCCATCTGTTCCTAGGAAAAGGATTGGACAGGGATGGTGAAACTTTTTGACATGCGTGCCAAAAATTTGCAAGAATACTCGATTCTGCTAGTCTCTCTCCCTCTCTCTCCTCCCCCCTCTCTCACACAGAGACCTGAACAAAAGAGAAACCATTGTCCTTGTTCTAGGCCACCCTGAACAGTGGCACTTGATGGCAAAGGCGAGGCTGGGCTTGAAGCAGAAGTCCGAGCCTTACTTCAGCCCAAGCACCACAACTGCCACTTGAATAGGCTCCCTTGCACCATTTTCCCAAGGCACACAAACCTTGGGGAATGGTGCAATGGCCCCTGTGGCTTAATGTTCCTGAGGATCTGCCATCTTATCTTCAGGTGATGTTATTTTTCTGTTAGGCCCCTGCGGCCTACCTGAAGCTGCTCCGGGTCACACAAGTCCTTTGTTCTGGAAGCAGAGAATGCTCTTCCCAGCCTCTGCATTTTCCAAAAGCTGCAAAATAGCAATAGCAATAGCAGTTAGACTTATATACCGCTTCATAGGACTTTCAGCCCTCTCTAAGCGGTTTACAGAGTCAGCATATTGCCCCCAACAACAATCCGGGTCCTCATTTTACCCACCTCGGAAGGATGGAAGGCTGAGTCAACCCTCAGCCGGTGAGATTTGAATTCAAATCTCACCGGCTGAGGGTTGACTCAG